TGCCTGTCATCAAACCGGTCTCTCCATCTCTTCGCCATCTTTGACAATCTCATCCACACACTTACCAGGTGTCTGATGTTATTAGGTCACATGGGTCTTTTTTCTTTACCCCAATCCCCCCCGGCCTCCTTGTATGTATCTTTGGCAACCGGAAAGCTGGGCCAGCTATTGGCCGCCACCTGCAAGGAGCTGCCAGGGCCCAAGGAGAGCCGGCGTACGGCCAAAGAGCTGTGGGAGGTGGTGCTGCAGATCTGCAGCGTGTCCAGCCAGCACAAGCGGGCCAACGACGGCCGCGTCAGCCTGATCAAGCAGAGGGAGTCCACCATGGGCATCATGCCGCGGTACGTCACGCTGAGCCACTGCGGCCGGGACCCGGCCTCCACAGATGGTCCGCTCCTCTTTGCTGTTGGTCAATTCTTGCCCAACCATGGACAATGTCGAACTCATTCTTTTTTCCCCCAATTGCTCCTTTGTTTTTTAATCTCCCCCCTCCAATAATGCTCTTTATCTTTGTGGATATTCCAGGAGCAAATTTATTACCTTCATCAAGAAACTGCGGGTAAGTTGCAGGTTTTTTCCCTTCTGAATACAGACGATGGATAAAGCCGTTGGCCTGCTATGAGTGTGACAGCCGCTTAATAAGCTCCTTTCCTTCCCGTTAGGAGCCGTTGGTCCTCACCACTCTGATCTCGCTGTTTGTGAGACTACACAGCATCGTGAGGGTAAGTTTCTTGCCAAACGGTTCCCAAACAATGCTCTACACAGCGCCCCCTTCTGCTTGACCTTGTTCCTGCTTTGTAGGATGACATTGTCAATGAAGTCACAGCGGAGCACCTGTCCATCTGGCCCACAGCTCTGCCAAAGTAAGGATTATGTCCGTTTTGCAAGTGTTTGCTGCTGAAAAGGCTTCTTTGAATCGAGCACAGTGTTTGTCACCATACACTCCTCTTTAATGCATCTTCAAGTAAATATTAAGATTTTCTCTCGTTTATATGATTCATGTATGATTATATGAATATGCTTTAACAGCACTCAGACATACATTTCCTTACTCGCATGTTAAAGTTCTGCTCTGCTTAGAATAGTGTAGCTCTTAGCCCTGAATACTCTGACTCTGTCACGTCACCCCTGAAGTCTGCAGTCCGTAGATGTGGAGGCCGTCGCCGTGACGGTCAAGGAGCTCGTCACCCACGCGCTCAGCCTCAACCCCAACAACCACTCCTGGATCATCACGCAGGCGGACATATATTTCGGTAAGGGCCCGTCGCTGCGTCCGCAGGAACGAGGAAGACGGGGGTGCCGCGCCTGGGACCGCGGTGGCTCTCTCGCTCGCGCTCTCGCTCGCGCTCTCTCTCATCCGCATCCTTTCGTTTCTTTCTCCCAGTAACCAGCCAGCACTCGGCAGCTCTGCATTACTACCTCCAGGCCGGAGCCGTCTGCTCTGACTTCTTCAGCAAGGCCGTTCCTCCGGACGTCTACACCGACCAGGTGACCTCCGAGCGTCTCCCTCTTTCAAGTCTGTAACTGACCATCCATGTTAACGTTTTAGAACACTGAGCGTTAGAGTAGCTGTTAGCTGATGTTAGCTTTTAGATGTTTGTCAGCTGTTCGAGAAGCACTTGGTCAGCAGCACAGAATAAAAACACCCTCAGGCTGTGCAGCAGTTTATTGTTCCATCCCTAAGCCGAGAAACGCCGTGTGAATAACCCATGGAGCCGTGTTTGCCACAGATACTGGTGTCTGTAGCCCAGTGTGACTGGACTCTTCCTTATCAGGTTCTGAAGAGGATGATCAAGTGCTGTTCCCTGCTGAACTGTCATACTCAGGTAAGAGTGCTCAGCCATTTACACGCATCATTCACTGGTATCAGTCACCTGCTTTGCCTCAATGTGGACGAAGAAAATGGACATTTTTATGGCTCTGTGGTAGGGCTGCACATTACATCGTTTCAGGGCTGCACAATATTTTGCACGCATGTGCAGTAATGTCATCGGTGCTGCTTTTTGTCTGAAATAACTCGCTACATCACCACCAACTTCTTTGACACACACTGTTGGTTGATAAGTTCTATTTGGCTCTAGTTTATTTCAGGTAATTTTTATCTCAGTATATCACACATAATGATGTCCATATGCTGCAGCCCTACACTGCGCTACATTAAGTGTGATTAATGATGCTGTTTAGGTGGCAGTGCTCTGTCAGTTCCTCAGAGAAGTGGACTACATGACGGCATTCAAAGCTCTTCAGGAGCAGAGCAGGTTGAGTACTGCCGATTCTGTCTTTTCATTTGAGAAGGCGGGCGTGAGTGGGGACAGACCTGACTCTCTCTCTCTCTCTCCACCAGTCATGATGCCATGGACGGCCTCTATGACTACATCTGGGACGTCACCATCCTCGAGTACCTCACACGTATCCTGCTTTTGTTTTGTCTTACGGTGTTTAAAGCTGTCGGCTTGTTTTCTTGTGAAATGGAATTCCTCTTTAACCATACGCTCAGACATTCACCATAAGCGAGGGGAGAATGAAAAACGACAAATAGCTGTAAGTCATGGCTCTATTTTTTCGTTGGCCAGTTATGAACGGCCCCTAGTAGTGTACTGAGCTGTGCTTTGATGTGAGGTGGGGCCCAGAGATCTGTCTAGTGTTTTTACGTTTCTAGTGGGGCAAGCCAGCTTGCTGAGTGCTTGTCTTTTGTCAGATCAAAGCCATCGGGCAAACAGAGCTGAACGCCAGCAACCCTGACGAGGTCCTGCAGCTGGCTGCACAAAAAAGGAAGAAGAGGTTTCTTCAAGCCATGGTCAAGCTCTACTTTTAGACTGGAGTTTTTTTTTTTTTTAAATTTGCTTTAGAAAATAAACATTTTGTAAAGAGCTTCAGGTGTTTCATGTACATGAGTCAATGTGGAACCTTAAGAATGTTCCTCATGCAGATGGGCAGCATAACTGACAGGTAGTGATGCACCAATAAAGACATTTCAGGCCGATACCGATAGCTGATTATTACAAAAATACAGATAACGAGGTTTGGGAGGTTCTGCTACCTAGGATGCATTCGTAGACCGATTACATCATAGCGACAGGCTGTCCAAATTCGAAGGCTCCTACAGATGTGGCCCACAAATGCGTCCTTCATTTCCTGGCTTTTGAAGGATGGGTTGGGTGGATCCTTCACAGCCCACCCCATCCCGAGATTCATTACGGACCAAAGCCGTGATGAATCTTGGGATTCTTTAAAAAATGACGGTAGTAGCGGAAGAGGCAGAATACACTGTTAAATGCAAGTAAATCTAGGGGTGCAAATGTTAAAAAGTAGAGGGGTTCCATCATTTTCAAGTTTCTCCACTTGGTATGTTCACCACTTGATGGTGGGCTTGTCTACCGCGACTGCCGTAGCAACTTTTAGCCAATCACATTGCTTCTCGCTCGGGATACGACACAATTGGCTGCTGCTCGCGTGAACGTACCGTCACGGTTGCTAGGTGGCAGGAGCTTCAAGGTAAAGATCTGAAGGTTACACCGTCCAATTTTGCAGCCACTCTCTTCCAGCCTTCGCGGTCTACGGAGGCCACATCTTAGGTAGGACCCGGCCCCCGAATTTGAAAACATAACTTGAAAACACAGAGTAACATAAAAATGACCAACTGCAGAAATGAACAAAGGCAGTCGCTTAAATACCATGATAACGAGGACTAACAAAAGCAGGTGCAAATTACCAAAAACAACCAATCAACAGGGGCACAGGGCAACAAGACACAAGACAAGTAACTTACACTAATGAACACAGAGCTATGGATCTTATAAGACCTGAGACTAAGGAAAAACAGGGAAATACACTATAAGAAAATCAAGAAACAAGTAAAACAGAACATAACCAAGGCAAGGGCAGAGAACCATAAACAAGACAAATTAAACAGGGAAAAACAATATCAAACTAAGAATAAGACAATAATAACCAACAGACGAGAGGCCAGCCTCAAACCCACAGTAGGCAACAGTGGCCAATCGCATAGCCAGTTAAGCTGCATGGTGGCCAAGGGGAGCAAGCACACATACTAAGGACTAGGGGCTACGTGACAGAAGAGGGAACAGGACAGCCAGCAAAGGGGACAAGACACGTAGGACAGAGACGGACGGGCTCTGAGACACGTAGGACAGAGACGGACGGGTTCTGAGACACGTAGGACAGAGACGGACGGGCTGTGAGACACGCAGGACAGAGACGGACGGGCTGTGAGACACGCAGGACAGAGACGGACGGGCTGTGAGACACGTAGGACAGAGACGGACGGGCTCTGACCCTGACAATTTTAGATAATAAATGTGTTCCTTCCAGTAACCACTTAAATGACACGACTCTCTTCCTCACTGTCACACACGCGTCTTTATTTTCACACTGTCTGATACTTGAAGTTAAACCTTACGCATTCTGTATATGTTTCTCTGTTAGCTTGTACTCGTAGCAGAGCATCTTTTTCACAGAGCACATTAACTGTTTATATGTGAAGTACACTGTGGCATCTCAAAACACCACACACAATTGCACACACATGTATTGCTCACGTCTTTTGTACTTTCTGATATATGGACTTCATATGGTCTTTACACATTCTACTCTTTAGGTTAACAGTATTTATTATATATAAAAATAACAGGAATTCATCACGTTGTGGGGACATTGTGTCCCCATAAGGTATACCTGCTCACACACACAGGTTTGTAATTATATCTTAGTGTGGACTCTCCATTCATTTCTATGGGGAAAACACTAATCCCAACATGACGACCTTAACCCTTACCCAGCCTAACTTTCACCATTTTAAAGGGAATTATCGACAGCACATATTGGCCCAATTTTAACCATTGGCTGATGACTAATTGCTGATGTATCGGTTGATACCGACAGTTAGGTGATACAATTTGTGCACTTTACTGACAGGACAGAATAGGGTAAAGAGTTACACACAAATGCACGAGGATCCCACTTCCAGTGACTACAGGCACTTTTAAGTCAAATCAAATTTTAATATTAAGACTTGCTTCACACGCAGACTTTATGTACAACACGCTAAAAAAAAAAGACATTGAGGAAAAATCAACCCATTCCCCCAGTTTACCTGCAATAAAGTTAAATTCTTCTGAAAACAGGAATGCAGGAATGCCAGGCAGTGCTGCCACACAGACGGCTGATGTCTGTTTGACACAAGCTAGTTCCTTCCTTGGATTGAAACAAATATTTCATGTAGCTTCACATTGTGCATTTAGTTTACATAAATATTACTGTGAACGAGACACTGAGTATTAGCTATCTGGCATATCAAAACTTATTGACAGCTTTCAAAACTGGCCTCTGACCAGTTCAAGCATTAAAAATTAGGATTTTGTACATGTTTGCTGGCAGTATTCATTAGCATACCTTTAATGCTTAATTATTAATCTGCAGAGGTGTAAAATGCTTTAATAAGTTAGACCAGCCTTCCAAGCTTCTGAACATTTGATGGGGTGTAGAGACACCTCCAGATCCCCTGATGAGACCTGAGGATCAGTGTGGAGATCGTTTCTCTGCGCTCTTGGGTGGCGTTAGGGTCGTGCTCTCAGCCCCAGGCGATAACCCGCTAACAGTCTCCAGCTGCATTTTCTGCACATCTCTCTGGGGTGAGACAAACATTGAGAATAGTCACCGACTTGGAATCAGCTACAGCTGAAGTTAATGATAACAAAAGCAGCATCTGGCTCTGTGCTAAGCTGAAGTGGCTCCACGGGGGCCCCTCACCAGCATGGCCAGGTAATCCGTGTGGGTCTGGATGTTGTATCCATCCTCCTGAGACCTGGTCGGGAAGCCCTTCAGCCGTGTGCCACGGGACTCACTGACTGTCCTCATAAACGGCAGCATCCAGCTCACGCAGTCGGCGAGGACGTCTGGCCTCAGGCCTTCAGTAGCAGAACATCACAACACAAACCTAATGAAATCAGCCAGGGAACCTCAGCCTCCCGTTTCTCCTCTATGATGCTGGATAACAACAGCAAGGAAAGTAAATTCAGCAGTGAATTCAGCAGTGAATTCAGCAGTGAATTCAGCAGTGAATTCAGCAGGCTTCTTGTTCCTCTCTTCCACCTGTCACTAGTGGTAATGTCAACCACGACCTGAGCTTAATTCACTCCCCAAAAACTGCTTATGAGAAATTCCCATCATTTCCTATTGCTTTAATCTTTGATGGGTTTTTGTAGCCTATATATGTTCCTGCAAATTCCCAAGATCAGAATCTGTACCAACTATACCAGGGATTCTCAAACTTTCCAACCACAATGCTTGGTTGTTAATGAAGTGTTAGTGGCCCACTGGGGGCGAGGGGGCTTGGTCATTTTTACCAGCCGGCATTCAGGTACCTGAGACAGCCCATTATGGACCAATGCTGGAGAGACCCTCATCCATACAAAGCAAACCATGTGACTCAACTCTTTCTATGAAAGGGCATTCCTGAATCCCCAGTAAAACTTCACAACGGGAAGAATGAGCCTCAGACTGAATGCGGCACTTACCTGATGCATTCTGGGCAACGTCGAAGGAAGTGAAATGGCTGAGGGCTGCAGCAGCCAAGACTCCATACTGGTAGCCCAAGGAGTTTATGTCAAGAATACATAAATCCAGGAGCTGAAATCGGGAGAGACCACCAAGGTACGGTTAAAAAAACATACTCATGTAAAGAACTAGAAAGCTCAGGGAGAGTTACGGTGATTTATTACTGAGCTGTTTTCAAGAGGCAGGAGGTGAGCACAGTACCTGTGTGATCCGTACGTAGGTATCTGGGGAAAACTGGGGCACTAGGAGTCTATGGTCATCCTTCAGAGATGAAACTTGAACATAAAGCTTCAGCCATGAGATGACAGTCTCAGGTCGGATCTCCCAATTCAAAGCCTGAGGAAAACAACGTCCAAAATATTTTAACGAAATCACAGCAAATCAAAATCATCGTAATCATGTCCTCAAACAACTTACACATCATTACACACCATAACATACATGTACAATATAAATACACGGGTATCATTTGTATTAGGGTGACACACCTTTAAAAGAATCAGTTCCATTTGTTGGATCTCCTTTTCAAAGCAGGTCCCATCTGTGAAGTAAGCCAGCTCCTCAAGTCTGGGAGGGTAGATTTCCTACAGAACACAGGAATGTATAAAGCAATAGCCTAGCCTTCAGTCCATCTAAATGTTAACAATGAAATTATTTTAGCTAATGTCTTAGGGAAGCCTTCAGTCTCTGTTCTCAATAGAGAGGAACCAGCAGAGAGTCTAATGAATCTTGCTATAACCAAACTCACATTTCATTTATCTGATGCTTTTCTCCAAAGCAATTTATAGTAGAGGGAAAGGTTATAATTTATGTCTGCTCCCTGGGATATGAACCCACCACCTCTGTATTGTTAGCACAATGCTCGCTCTGTTAAGCTTCTCATTTAAATCAGGTGGGTTCAGATGTAGTACAGTACACTAATGTATTTAATAGGCACAAAGAGTTCCTGTATTCTACCAATAGATTGGAAATTTCTTAGAAAAGGCTTTTCATTTGAAGTTGTGTAAGTAAGTATAATGGTTGGTTGCTCGGCGTAAGTGTTGGCCAAGCCACAACATCAAATAATAATAAAAATACTAGTGCAATGGATGGATGTTTGAATCTAATAAAAAAAATTACATAAGCCAATCATTACCTCTAATTTGGAGGCAATGAACAGAGCTGTGACCCCAATTAGCTGCAATCTGGTTTTGTCGACCGCCTCTTGTGTCAGCATGAACCGGTCGAAAAGGTCTTGCGCGAGGTAGAACGTTTCACGCTGTAGGGTGTGTTCCTCGCTGACCTGGATACATAAACACAATTCAACACTGCAGAACTGACCTATTAAACGGAAAGTGAAACCATTCTCTATGCTAATTCAAGCAATTCTATGCTTTTTTTTTTACCCTAGATTTAAGAAAATCAAACTTCATGATATACAGAGTAAGGATGATAAAAGCTGCCAATGAAACAACACATGCATTATGTAATAATTATGTAACAACAAAATGAAACAAATTTTCATTTCATTATGTAATAGTGCCTGCATTTTGTATTAATCTGCCTCATTTTGTAATAGACAGCTTGAAAGCAATATGTAATAAATCTCCCCGCATTCTGTAATAACTTATTACATATTGCGGCAATTATTACAAAATTTGGAAGTTGCGCTTTTTTATGATGAAAATGTAATAATAATATTTGTCTTCATTCACACTTTGCTGAGTAATTACATAGTGCATCGTTACAACGGCCTATTTCTTACTTACTTCCATAAGCCAGTCTAACAGTATGGACCTCATGCGTGGATGCAGGCCTGGATGTCGCTGCACGAAGCTCTTGTCATGGACATACTTGACATCCTTATTGAGCATCTTAATCCACACATCTTCTGAGCTGGCCCAGCTGTCGGAAGTAACATAAGTCGCTTGAAGCCTTAAGTGTAATGGCGTGGGGCTGTACCATTAGGGCGGGGGCTGAACGGGACATGCGTTAATTTGACAAAGAGGCAGGCGAACGATCTGAGGTGGCAAGCGGTGCCTACCTGAGGCAAGGCAGCGGAGATGTGCTCAGATTCCTGACCTCGGACAGGTACCTGGACACCTCCAGCTCCTTATGTGGAGTTTCCGTCAGAATGGGGAGGAGGTCATTGACTGTGGAGCAACGACCCTGCGGAGGAAGGAATCCACTTTGGCTATAAACACTGACCTATAAACACTCTGTCAAATATAATTTTGAATCATCTTCACTCCTGGAGTTCCGTGCATGATTCATGTAAATGACTATGATCTTCTCAAAGCTAAACGCGGTACATAAATTTGAGACAAAAATGTATACAAAGAGCCATAACGATTATATTACAGATCTGTAAGAAAGGCTTTTGAAGGAAATGTAGAAAAATGTTTTATAAATATAAAATGCCATAGTTATGGTAACAACCCAAGATGGGGAGCCAACCCATCGCAGGAGGAAGTAATGAAAACTACAGTTGTCAAATACTTATCACTTTTTCAGTGTGGGGGAAAAATACATTTTTGCACAGTGAAGTGAGCTCTTGACTGCCTTGGAGCGAAATGAAGAACCCGTCGTACAAAATGGCAAGATTCTACAAAACTGATGTGAAAAAATATAGTTAATCAGTCTATTGTTTATGAATCATTACCTTTATCTTGAATAGTTCAGTTTCAGCTGTAGCAGGTCCTGTCTGCCGTCTGTCGCACTGCCCAATGAAAAACAAGGCCTCTGTGTTACCGGCGTCCATTTCTACATGAAATTACCAAGTGACATTCTATGAAGTATCACACACCTGCAACAGTCTTTTTCTTGTCCTTGTGACCTTCTGAATGGCTTCATTCCTACCTTTAGCTATTAAACGTGCACTGCAGAAAAAGAGAAAACATTACATTAGTTCTGTTACACTAAGGTGCTGTCCAGATAGCAATCATCTGGAAACATCCCTTCTTGAAGTACCGTCCTTTACCTGCGTCTGGACATTCTCCTTTACCCCGACAGTTCCTGAGAAACGAGAAAATACTAATTTAATTAATGCAACATTTAAGATTTTTTTAAAATGTCCTTGGTTATGTACAAATCACGTAAGCTTTGAATAAACAATCCAAAAATAAATCTTCCGGGCGCCCCTATTGGGACACGAAACAGATTCCATATGTAGGTCAAGTTCAGTAATGGCCGAATAGTTACTGTATAACTGTAAATTTATGACATCAAAGACCTTGATGCCATGCATTCGAGGTGCACCTATAATATGGAAAGCCCGGGTATGGTAGATGTTATAACTCGTAGATTATGTTCATAATAAATGATTTCCTTAGTATAAACTGAATGCATTACGTTTCCGTATTCCGCCTCATCGCGGCATTCTAGCAGTCAAGACGAGATTTCATTCAAATGCCGTATTGATCGTGTAATTCGTTCATCCTTAGCGAAACATAACAATGTCTATCATTAAATAACTTTACCTCTGAATTTATTTGTAATTAGACCTCTTTAAAAACGTATTTAAAGTAAACACATTTAAGCCGGTGGAACGATCGACTGTTTTCATATCGTTATGTATTTAAACACCCCCAATTAAAAGTTAAAAGTGTTTTACTTTACATGAATCTCTTTTTCAATGTTTCAAAATAGCTGTTCATGAGTAAACCATTATTACAAGGATGGAATGAGAAAAGGTTAAGCCGACACCATAGTTTCATTTTCAAGTCGGCCCTAAACACAGCTAGATATTACGGAATAAAAACTTCTACGGCAAAATTATTTCATTTCTTTTCATTTTCGATAATTTTATTTAACATAATTGCAACGGATGCCATTATAAACTATTTAAACAACATAATTACAGTTTTACTTGCCGTGTTGTTTGCAAATGACTAGCAAACAAAAAGTCAATTTTAAAAATGCAAAAATGGGCAACGATGACACTATGTGCTCGTAGTAGTTTTAAGAGAAACAAAAATGTGATTGCATTAAAAAGTTTATTTTCTTTATCAAGCGGGCGGCAAAGCGCCCTTCCTTACCGCGAAGCGCAGCGGCTGTCAGCTGGCGCCAAGTGCGGCGGCCAGTGCGCATGTCCGCCCTCCGGCTGTCTTCGGAGCACTGAAGGGTGAAAACAAAGACGTTTCTCGTAATAAGAAAACGAAATATACGTCAGATTAACTCAGATTAAATTCGGTCGTGTCTGGCTAACGGCATATAGATGCCATCAAGCGATTATGAATATTTTATATAACGAAATATTTTATACAATTGAAGAAAACGATAATGACACTACGCAATACAAAAATCGAATTCGTTATGACACACCATCAGACTTTAAAGTATGCTATAATTGACAACGCCATCTGGCTAACCAGGTAGACGCTTGAAAGGATTTTTCAGCACTTTTGAATAACGGGACGAATCCTAAAGTGTGCGCTCATTGGCTGCATCTGGACTGGATTAGCCAATAGGATCAGAGCAAGGGCAACAACGTGCTTTCGGAGTAAAACATAAACAAAGACTGCCAGCGAAGCTGTAAACTGGCAACAGGGGGCACTGCTTCTCATTTTTGCTTTCTCATTTCATTGTTTTGGTTTACGCCCAAAACAGTTTCATTTAGCATTTCAGTGAAATTTAGAGCTAGAAAATGTTGAACAACGATCATATCTTAATTAACATGAATGTCTCTGAAATGTTTTTTCACATATATCATGAGACAAGATAATTGTTTCTGGCTGTATAAGTCCATCATATGGCAAGAACAGCTCAACTTAGCAACTCAGTGTGACTTAGGGCCCGTCGTTAAATACAGTCATCAGTCATTCTGGAAAAGATCAAAAACTTTAATATCAAAAGTGCAGATGGAAGAACCAAGTGCTATGAGTACTGCCTTAGAAAAGAAAGACCAAGAGTCACCTTCACTGCAGAGGATGATTTTTTTTATAATCACCAGACTCAGAAATGTACAAGTGTGGAAGAGGAATGTCAGTTAACACAGCTAGAATGCAGAGATACTATGATGTGTTAAAAGTATGCAGCTGTGACATACACTCACCTAAAGGATTATTAGGAACACCATACTAATACGGTGTTTGACCCCCTTTCGCCTTCAGAACTGCTTTAATTCTACGTGGCATTGATTCAACAAGGTGCTGAAAGCATTCTTTAGAAATGTTGGCTCAAATTGATAGGATAGCATCTTGCAGTT